GAGGAGGAGGAGGGGGGGGCAGGAGGAGGAGGAGGGAAGCAGGAGAGGAGGCGGCCCGCCTGCCCAGTGCGCCCTCGGGGCGCTACCACGGCGGGGAGGCGGCCTCCCGGAGCGGCCGCCGCTCCGCCTCCTCGTCCGCGAGCACCTCGAACGCGACGAGGCCGAGGGTGCAGACGGCAGAGGGAGGGAAAGCGGAACAGACGTACCCATCGCTGTCTGGGGTCCCAGAGGTGGATCGTCCCATTGCTGTCTGAATTTGTAAAGGCACCAGAGCCTGGGGTAGACGGATTCGGCCCCTGAATGGGGCTTCGCACTCCTCTTCCCATCTTGCTTGTAGCATTTTTCCTCTCAAGTGTTTGCGAGGGCGAAAGCAGGAGCCAGGGTCCCAACCCCCTGGCCACGAGAGAGGCAATCAGCAGCTTGCATTCGCTGTGCAAAAAGTGCGGGAGGGAAAGCGGAACAGACGTACCCATCGTTCGGAAGACGTGGGTGGAAACGTGACGCAGGAACAGAGGACGAGAAAACCACACGAGCATAAACTGTTGGCGCTCCGCGCGGATTTCTTGGATCCGCGCGGGAGGCGCCGCCAGGAGGGCCCAGGGCGGATCCAAGAAATCTGGGCGGAGCGCCGAAAGTTTATATTTGTGTATGTTTGCTCTTCTTCGAAGGAAGGCGTTGAAAGTAGATTGTGTGTGTGTCCGCCCGCCCCCTTGGGCGGGCGGAAAAGGTAAAGCCACTCGGTCGTTGAAGAAGGAAGGCGCTTAAAGTAGATCGGAATATGGGAATCCAAAAACACCTACTTTCAACGACCGATGAGTACGGTCGGCCCGTATCCTAAGGACGCGCGACAAGGATGCAAGGGCCTCGGAGGGTCGTTTCGAAGCTGCTCGAGCGGGGCGCGCCCAACGACAGCGGCCAGGGATGGCGGAGGAGGCAAGGATGCAAGGATGCCCCTGGGAAGATTGCCTGTCCTTACTATGCGGGCTGATTGTACAGCCGTCGTGCATGCTACCATCACAAGGAGCGCGGAGTGGGGAACAGAGGGGCTTCTCCGGCCGCGGCGAACCTCGGCCCCGAGCGGGTTCCTGACCCGGGTCTCGGGAGCAGCCCGAGAACCAAAGCTCCTCCCGAGCCCGAAGGGGTCCTTCTCTCGGCCGCCTTGACCGCACGGCAGGCTCGTGTCGTAAGGATCCTGGCATCAGTCTCCGACACGATCGCCAGACCGTTTCAGACTGGCCGATTCTGAAGGGGCACAGGGACACAAATAAATGCACACAAATAACAGGATTCCCCATATTTCCTCATATTTTCTAGGATTTTGCCTTCCCCCACACTTCCCATATTGTCCCATATTTTCAAGGGAATCGGCGATGAATTGTGTCTGTGTGTTTCTTCCCCTCCTGAGATTCTGGGCCCCCGGCGGCAGATCGGGCGCGTCCTCCTACCGGCGGACGTTGGACGAGACATAAAAAGTGCGCAAACACATGCTCACAAATCGTTAAGGATACGTAATCGGGATCTCGTCCCCTGACCAGTGTTCTGAAACTCTGCAGTGGAATGCTCCTCCTTCGGGGATCTTCTGACCCGGGTCAATCCAAACCCGGGTCAGCAGGAAACCAAAAACTGCAATGCAGGAAAAAAAACTGCCGTCTCGAGGCTCCCGACTCCTGTGGAGGAAAACACGCCCGGCTCGACACTGGCGGCGTTCCACCTCGAGTGCCCGGCAGTGGGGTCGCCGCCACGTCCACACGACGCGAGCCTGCCAACAAAGAAAACAATCGGAGGCCCGCTCTTCTCGGGGATGGACAGACCCCCCTTCAGTAAAACGTGGTTTCGTGAAAACGACCTGAGGCCCAAACCTGGCGGGCGCAAGCCTGGAAAACAACCGCCACGGCGCCGTCTCGAGTGCCGAAAACGGACAATTCGCTAATCGACGTGTCACTGTGGGGGGTTCTGTCCACCCCCGATCTCCGCCCTCTCCGCGGCCCCTCTCCGCGGCCCTCCTCCCCGCGCCCCCCGCGGCAGCCGCGCGGAGCCCCCCCTCCTCGGCCCCTCGGGCCCCGGGGCCCGCCCGCGCGCCCGGTCCGCTGGTGCGGGCCTCTTGGCTCGGCGCTGGACCCCGCGCCTCCCAAGCGCTCCCAGGCGCTCCCAGGCGCGCCCAGGCGCTCCCAGGCGCTCCCAGGCGCTCCCAGGCGCTCCCAGGCGCGGCGCGCGCTGGGAGGAGCGGCACAGGAGGCGCCGGGGTTCAGTCGGGCATGTCCCCTTACAGGGGGACTTTCGACGGAAAATAAACTATATACCCCCAACATAATCTTAAAAGAATCCAAAAAATAGTCTGGGGAGCATTTTTGTTGAAAATGTTGTGACCTTTTTGGTGTATGTTGGGGGTATTCATGATTTCTCGCCGAAAACCCCCCTGTAGGGGGACACGCCCGACAGAACGCCAGGGGCGGGAAGGGGGGTCCAGGGCCGCTCCAAGAGCCGCGCGCGGCCCTCCGAACAGACTGCGGCTGCCCCGCTCTGCCTCCCCCGGGACGAGCACGAGCACCGCGTCCACGCCGGGCGTGGTCATGACGCCCAGGCACTCGTTGCCGTGCAGCGACACGGACGCCGCCAGGCGGGACTCCTCAGGGACGGGCCACTGCCCCCACTTTGGCGGTTCCCGCGGCGCCGACGGGGCGAACGGGGCCAGCTCCAGCACCTCGAAGCCGCCCTGGGCCGTGGCGCGCACGGCGAGCTTCGGCGGCCTGCCGCTCGCCTCGATCAGCAGGTAGTCGTCCTGCCGCCCCTGCAGCCTGCCGAAGCATGACCCGTCGGCGCCGAAGATCTGCAGCTGCGCGTCGATGGAGCCCACGGTGGAGCTGCCCGCGCCGTGCACGGCAGCGACACTGATCCTGCGCTCGCTGGGCTCCCCAGGGCTGGACAGCGACGCCGAGAAGAGCGGGCGGCGGCCCTGGCCCGCGAGCACCTGCACCGTCCAGGCCGCCCCGGCCTGCAGCGGCCTCAGGGGCACCAGCAGCGGCATGTCGCCGTTGGGCGTCAGCAGCTTGTCGCTGAGCGCGGGCACCGCGCTGGCGGCGTCGAAGCCGGCCTTCGCGGGCGGGCCCCGGCGCAGCGCCACCCCCCTGCAGAGCTCTCGGGGATCGTCGTCCTGCACGAGGTCCTGGAGCGTGGAGCACCAGGCGCCCGTCAGCGCCAGCACGGCACACACGGTGCAGACGGACAGCACGCCGGCCGCCAGGAACGTCAGGCTCGCGTCTGTTCGGGTGTTGCTAGAAGTGCCTCTGGCCCAAGGTGCCCTCAGCTTTGCGCTCCATCTTGGAGCCTCTGGGGCCTTCTGGGCCTTGTGAGGGGTGCCCTGGAGGCAGCCTGGGCCACCTCGAGAATCCTAGGGGTACCCTGGGCCAGGGGCACTTCTAGCAACACCCGGTCTGTGCTGTCGCGTGCGCTGCCACCTGGAACCCCGGGAGTGTGCGCCACGCCGCTCTGCGCGGCTGCCACCGGCAGCGGCCCCGCCTCCGCGGCAGGGCCCGGGCCGCGCCACCGGCGAGCCACGGCGCCCGACCACGCCGACCGCAGGTCACGGTGGAAGCGGCTGTGGGCCCCGGCCCAGTGGGCGAGCAGCCCCTGCAACAGGCGGAAGCCCTGCTGGAGGCCGCCCCGGTGGGGCCAGAGCAAGCGCGAGCGGCGATCGAGAACGGGTCTTACGCGAGATGGCGCAGCGACCTTGCGCCGCGGCTTGCGCGGGCCGCTGGCCCGGCACGCTACATCAGAGGCGGAGGAGCTCACGCGCGACCTTTCGCGGGCAGCTTGCGCGCCAGCGTCGGCGAAGACGACCCGGTTTTTGTTGCGTCGCTCAAGAGGGGCCAGAAGACCTCACCGCATCGCCGACGCACCGACGGCACACCGGCAACGCCGCGGTGGAGGGCCTCAGGCTCTGGGTCGCGCCGCATGGACGGCGCATCGGCGACGCCGCGCGACCCTCCGATCCCACCTGCCCCGGATCCGCTCGGGCGGCCTGGGCCTGCCCGCCGCTGCCGGGGGCGACGGGCGCCGGGGGAGCGGTGGCCGCTGTCGTCCGCCTCGCAGCGGCGCGGGTCACTCCACTCGCCGTTTGCACCAGCCAGGCTGACTCGTCTGGCTCGGCGGCCAGGCAGGCGCCCTCTGCGGCGGCGCCGCGGCAGGAGTCGCCCAGCGCTGGCGCCGCCGAGCCCGCAGCGATCGCCGCCAGCAGCACCGCGGCGGCCGCAGGCGGCCCCTGCGCAGCCCCGCCGGCGGCTGTCGACGCACGCCGCCCCATCGATCGGGGGAGGTCGCGCCGGCAGCCGTCCGCACGCATGGGGCCAGCTCGGGCCGTGCACGCGCGCGCGCGTGCGCACGTGTGCGCGCAGGCAGGGCTGCACGCGTGCTGGCTCGCATGCGTGCCGTGCACGTGTGCGGGCGTGCATGCCTGGACGCACTCGCGCGCGCGCAGCTGCGTGCGCATGCCAGAAAAGAGAAGCCAGGCAGGCGCCGCGTGAGCGGGCACAAGCCCTTGGTCGCAGAGCGGCCCGCTCCCATCGGGGGTCCAAAAAGCGCCCGAGGCCCTCCTCGTACGCCCCCCCCCTCCTCCTCCTCCCCCTCCTCCTCCTCCTCCTCCTCCTCCTCCTCCTCCTCCTCCTCCTCCTCCTTCGCTTCGTCCTCCCCCAGATCGTGTCATGCAGACGCCCGAAGTGAGAGAAGTTTCTCAAACGAGGGGTACCCACGAGAACAAGCGCAACAGAGAGCACAATATATGAGCAAGAACACGAGGATAATGATACTGCAAGAACGGGAGAGGGAGAATTAGGGGCGGGAAGAGAAAACAAGAGGAGGAGGAGGACGAGGAGGAGGAGGAGGAGGAGGACGAGGAAACAAAGGATGGCATGCAAATCCTTTTTGAAACCGACCCACAGCTGCACCAGAGTGCACGCGGTGCAGGAAGAAAAGTGATTTCCTTTGGTGCGCATGCACGTCCGCCTGCCGCGCAAGCAAAGAAAAATGAAAATGTGGTCCAAGGGGACCGAGGTGGGGGAGCCTCCTCCTGCAGGCGGACGCACGCAGCAAGGCGCACTGCCACTCTAACCTCGCCCATGCAAGGGGCGATGACGACGACGACGACGACGACGACGACGACGACGACGACGACGAGCTGACGGCGAAGTGGCATACGGGCATACGGTCGACAGTAGAAACGCGACGCGCGACGCAGCACCGCAAGACAACCGAGCAGCATTGCGGCGGCGTTGCAGTACGAGCCCGCACGGGGGCAGACCGCTCACCCTTCCGCAACACATCCCAAGCCTCCTTCTCCCTGGCTGCTCCTGCTGCTGCTCCTCCACACTTATTGCTCCTCCCTGTCCAACCCTCCAACGTGTCGGTAGGGCAGACCAGGAGTTCGCCCAAGGCTTCCTCAGATAATCAGGAGCTCGAAGTCCACAACAGTTTCAACGATGGAGGATGGGTCGATTTGAACATGGGGCTCGCCTGGGCGCCGCGCATATTCGTTGTCGAAGTGTGCAACCGTTTCAAAGAAGGCGGGCAGGCGGTATTCAAAATGTGGTTCTCGCCTTAGCGCCGCGCACATTCGCCGTGAAAGTGTGCAACGGAGGGCGGGCGATATTCAAATGTGGCTCTTACCGTAGCGCCGCGCACATTTGCTTGTGAACTTCACAGCCGGTTCAAGGAAAGAAGGCGGGCGGATTTCAAAATGTTGTTATCAGAAGTTGAACGGCCCGTCTTGGGTCAACTGCGGACTGCCCTTCCAAGTCCCAACTCGAACCGTGCCCGCTCCCCTCCCCTCCCCTCCCCGCCCTCCTCCCTCTCCTCCCATCTCACCCCCCCTCCTTCCTCACGAGTTCCCTCGTCCGCCACCTCGTCCTTATCGTGCCCCCACCCCTCCTCGATAGTCTTCATGCTACCAAAAGGAACTCAAACTACGGACCAAAAATCTTTTCTGGCCACGACGAGCCTCTGCCACTGACAGGTTCCCCGACCCAGAGCTGAAGCACGGCCCGAGCACCAGAGCCCCTCCAGAGCCCGAGGTGGCCCCTGCTTTAGCATCTTGGCTGCCCCCCTCTGCACCTCCATCCATCCACCACTGCCGTTCTTCCTCACTGCCCATCCCTCCAACCCTCTGCCCCTCCCGCCGGAGGTCACACGGGATCCAGAGGAGCAGGAGGAGAAGCGGGGCAGGGATGGTAAAATGTGGTCGGCTTGATCTGACGCGTCATGCGGAGATCAGCTGTGCGACCTGAAGGCGTCCAGACTACGAGTGCATAGGAAATACCAGGAGACACACATTACACCCCGACGAGGGAGGAGGAGGAGGAGGAGGAAGAGGAGGAAGAGGAGGAGGAGGAGGTCGGGGAGGAGGAGGAGGAGGAGGAGGAAGAGGAGAAGGAGGACGAGGAAGGGAGGAGAACGAAGGAGACAAACGAGCTAGGGCAAGGAAGAAGCGGGGCACCGGAAGGTCGAAGTTGATGAGGATGAGGCGATATGGAGGATGTGGAAGCGGTAAGAGCGGAACTGGGTGGGAGTAAAGAGAAACAGAGCTTACTAGCGCCAGTAATTTTTGAAGCACACGAACCTCGTGGCATACGGCATACGAAGACGACACAGCAGCGATAACAGCAGGGGGGGCCGCAGGATGAGCAGCAAGCGCGGCAGGTATGCGAAGAGCGGAAATCCACCGACCTTCGCTCTTGCCAGGGGTGGGGAACCGCGTGGAGTATGTGGCCTTCCCCTCCCCCTGTCCTCCTCCTCCTCCTCCTCCTCCTCCTCCTGCTCCTCCTCCTGCTCCTCCTCCTGCTCCTCCTGCAGCGTGGCCAAAGGGGGGCGGTCCTCGAAGTTCTAGCGCAGCATCTGGTGCCGCACCGTGGGGACGAGATCTCTTGCCTCGTGCAACTCCAGCGGTCGACCGCCGAGACGTGAGGACATAGCCCGTATCTCGAACTCTGAGAGACGACTCAGTGGGCATCAAAATCCCGAACCGATCCAAGGGGAGCGGGGCGAGGGGGCCTGACAAAGCCTCAAGGAGCGTGCCGAAAATGGGGCAGTTCCAATAATGTGCGAACGCGTCCTCTCCGCCTAAGTCGGGGGGACACCCACAGAGACAATGCGAATTTGCAGACTGTTGGAACCTACGTTGAGTTAACCAGTTCTTCGAGAGCGTCCTAGCAGCAGCGGCCGAAAGAGCCACAGGCAAGGAAGCAAGAGCGGCCTGCACGGCAGACCAGTCCACGGTAAGGATACGAGCCCTCTCCTCAGGGAGCATATCTAACAGGCGCCTGGAAAACAATTCACCTAACGAGTTGCTATACATACAGTCAGTCAGTTGATTTACAATCATGCGCTGGATTTTCGGACGGGGGCCTCTCACGGAGCTCTGAAGATGCTGTACCTGAAGCGCACGAACCTCAGACATCAGGGGTAGCATTTCGTTTCGCAGCCTATCTGGGAAATGGACTCCATTGAACGCGTCAGACATGTGCTGGCACAGAGCTGGGGTCTTCCACCACGGCGGCGAATACTCTCGACGCAGCACCGACACGTATGGGCGGTGACGGACAGCAGCACGATGGAGCCACTCAAGAGACTGGCGCCATTCAAAGGTCGAAATAGCCGCACGAGCTCTAGCCGCCATGCAAGTGACTGGCAACGAACGGATCCTCGGACCTCCCCACTCCTGCCATCTATACCACGCCCCATGAGTAAACCCGCAATATGGCATGTGAAAGACTCTGGATAACATAGCAGCTTCGTGGCGGGCGAGCTCGCGCGGAGCAGGAATGAATTGAGCGATGTACGACATCACCGATGATGCACGTGTAGAGTAGAGGTTCGCCGCGACCGCATTCGAGGCTCCCACCGAGGAGAGCTCAAACGATCGGTGGCGCCATTTTCTGAGCGGATTCCTCCAACAGTGCTGCTCTGCCTCGGGCCCGAGAAACATACCCAGATACTTGATGACTTCGACGATTTCGAAGGCGGCCCAGGACGGGATAAGGGCTTTCAACTTCAGTTTGTAGAGCTGTTTGATCGGGTCCGTGATGGGGCCGGCCAGGGGAAGTATTTGACACTTCGAAATATTCAGATACAGAGCTGCAAGTTGGGCCGCAAGGCCAAATATGCGGAACAATTGCACGAGGTACTGCAGCTTGATGAGGGCCGTGCCTATGTCATCAGCGCAGAGTCTGACTATCCCGCGATGCTTCCGCTCTATCGTCGATTCGAAGTCCGCCACAAAGGGCTCCATGCTAACCGCAAACAGCGTTCCCGATCCAGGGCACCCTTGGATGATTCCAGCAAGGATAGGAAACATAAATAAAATCAGGCCTCCAAACTCCGAGTAGCAAATCACCCCCTGGTACAGTAAGACGATATAAGCCAGCAACGGGGGTGGAAGACCGATTTCTTCGAGGACCAGCAGCATCCACCGATGAGAGATCGATGGAAAAGCCTGCGCAAAGTCGAAGGCGGCTACGAGCGGCAGGTCCGTGCCAGCTGAAGGGACCATTGAGTAACACCTGGCAACAGCGTCCAATTCGACGATGTTGGTCCCAAATTGGCGTCCCTGGATAAAACCTCGTTGTAGTTTATTGGCAACCTTGGACCACTCCCCGGAGAACGAGAACATGATGGTGGCGGTGATGAGCTTGTTATCTGTGTTTTTGAGGCCCAGGGGTCGAAGCTTATCACAATCACGAACGCAACCTCCTCCATCTTGATCTCCTTCCTCCTCACCCTTCGGAATGTAGACGCCCAGAAGGTGATTGAAACCCCAAAAAGCCCAGCCGCCGTCCAGGAGCCAGAACATCATCTCAGAGAGGGTCTCAAGAGCCTGGGGAGTCTTCTGCCAAGCCGCGTACGGGATACAGTCGGGACCAGGGGCACTGTGAGTTTGCTTTCTCAAAACTGCAGACATCAGGCTCTTGGTCGGGGGCGGGATGCCACGCAGGTCGATGTGACCTGTGAACCTCTGGATGTAGGTCCGTGCCTTTTCCACAGGAGTATCTTTCGCACTGAAGATCTGGCCCCAATGCTCACTAATCGCTGAAGCCATGTCCAGCGGGTCGGAGAGAAGCTGATCTTTGCGGCGAATACCGCGCACATGTAAGCGGCGATCAAAAGGAGCCCACAGTTTCGCACGCCTCTGCAGACGACGGAGACGCTGCCGTAGCTTTTTCTTCTCTGATTCGGGAGCTGCCGAAAGATTTTTGCCCAGGCGTTTTATCGTGGTCATGTGGTCCGTTGCTTCCAGGGAATTGATCAGGTCCGCAA